ATAACCTTTCATGTATGGTGATCCAAGATAATGATAGTAGAGTTTTCTTTCAAAAGGGTAAATTTCACAAACTACCATTAACTATCAGAATTTGCACAAAAATACCAAAAGTTATTTTAATTAGACAAAATACCACAAACTTTCAAATCAGCAAAAAAAAAAAATCATAAAACTAGAGAAAACTACCTACGAATTATACTATCTATTTTTTTTTTTCATTTCAATTCTAATGTTTTTCACATTGCATTTTCTACTGTACAAGAGTACATTTTTACATCATGACAGCAATAGGCCAATTCTCATATATTTTTTTGTTAATTCTCTTTGCTTGTTGTCTGCTCAAAATATTGCCGAATCTCTTGTGCAACTAGGAAGGTCATCATTAAAATTGGTTGCCATTCTCAAAATGGGATTTCTCTCAAAGAAATTAACTGGTTCAAGTCAAAGCTAGAGGATACAGTAAGCATTATGGGATAGTACCAGGGATATGAAATGTGTACCACAAAGCTATGTATGTCTTCATTCTCAATAGACTGATCCCTACAGTTTCATAATAATCACATGTAAATAATAATATGGTGATAAGAGGTAGTTCATGTAAATAATAATATGGTGACACTAGTAGAAAAATGAGCAACCTAGACGGAAATTTTCGTCTAGTTTGATTCAACCTAGACGGAAATTTTTTCCGTCTAGATTGTTCCGTCTAGATTGGTCGTTTTTCTACTAGTGTGATAAGAGGTAACTTATGTACATTTCAATTATACAATAACTTGCTTGACCATATAGTTAGAATATCATCCCCGTACGTGGCTCTGATATGCAAATGAACCACCTGCGCACTACTCACTTTTATTGTATGGAGTCACCCAAATCTGAACAGTTCAGAAAGAAAACTGTTACCACTAATTCAAAGAGGAGAGTACTTAACTTCCATTTAAAGTGAACTATATTATCTGATTATTTGTGGAAGGCAGTTCTAAGTTGTGGAGGATCATCAAGATCAAGTAAGCTCACTGCTGCAGCAGAAGGAATCTTGTGCCCTGTAGGGTTCAGTATTTTTGACTTCCTCAAAGGGTTGACAACATGAAACTCTGAAGGATCAGAGAGTTTTGAGCTTGACTTGTGCATCTTTTTTGGTCTTTGCAGGGTTTTTCACAGCTTTCATGCAACTCTTTCTAGGTGATTTTCCCAGTGAAATCTGTTGCTTTTCCATGTGAACATTTACAAAGGAGTTGATTTGTCCATCAATGACCATGTCTAAGTAGATTGTGATGTAGTTATCACGTACTAATCCTATGATATTTCTTGTGAGTAGAGTTCCATAGATGTCTTCCTCTTCAGGAATTTGACTTGTATTTTCGTAGGTTGTTCTTCTGACCAGTAGCATACCGTTAAGTGTGACTTGCTTGTAGATGTTTAGAACTTGGTAGAATAAATGAAGAGGAAATTGTGGTTTTACGTAAATTTCGCAACACCCCCATCTAAAATTTGGGATATTTTGCACAAAATCCTCACCAAAATTTGTAAATTAGAGAAAAACATTCACAAACAACTCATAACCTTCACAACAAACTCATAACCTTCACAACCAACGCGTAACATTCACAACAAACTCGTAACCTTCAATTTGTAATATTTACAACCAACTCGTAAACTTCACAACAAACTCGTAACCTTCACAACCAACTCCTTACCAAGGTTCACAACTAACGTGTAACCTTCAAAACCAACTCGTAACCTTGACAACCAACTCGTAAACTTCACAATCAACTCGTAACCTTCAAAACCAACACATAACCTTTCTTCACAACCAACTCATAACTTTAACATCAAACTCATTACAGTGAAATAACAACAATATATAAATTTATAGACTCTACTTTAATCTCAAGTCGTTGATTTCAAAAAAACAATATATAAAATAACAAAAAATATAGCACTCACATTCAAGTACAAGTTAAAAAAGGGAAAAAATTACACCGAGAGTCGCTGAAGTTCCCGTCTTTTTCTTCGGAACCACGACGCTGAATCCATCGCAACTCGTCATCACCATCTTCAAGATCACAATTTTCTTCGCCTCTTGAACGAACGCCGGGAAAGTTTCATCGCCGATGCCCCCCCCCCCCCCCACAAAAAAAAATCCATTTCAAATCATCATAGTGATATAATGAAAGGGAGAGAGAGAGAGAGAAAAATCCATTTCAAATCATCATAGTGATATCATGAGAGAGAGAGAGAGTATTATGGTCTTCTCATGTTTTAAACTTTTAGGATTTGTGTCTTGGGGGCTCAGAGAATTGTGGCTTCGGGTTTTAGGAGTGTTAAAAAAGTCTTGGGGTGGACGGAATACTTGTAAGGAAATTGGGGGCCAGAAGTAATTTTCCCTTTAGAAGGGGAAAATACAACAAGAAAAATATTATGGTAGTCAAACGAAGTCTTAGTAGTCCACTTTAGAATTTACAATAGTGTGTGAGAAATGATATGAAGCCTCAGGTTTTCTTTCTCTTCATTGAGCTGCAGGATTGTAAAAGAGGTAGTCGAGGATCCATCTCAGGATCTCTTGGAGTCGGTGGCTCATCTAATTGCAAACACCACATTGCTCAAATTACCTCAGATTTCTGTGATCCGAGTGAAGATCCAAAAGCCTCATGTACGTAGCAGTTCCCGGACCTCTTGAACATTTAGGCATCGAGATAGTGACATACAGAAAGAAAGATAATGCTGGCTCAGAAGTGAAATAATCCGTCTGCAATATGTTTTGAGATTATTGTATCTTAAGTGATGTTTCACTTGTACATTGTGTCAATGATTGTGCTTTTTCTATCAGAACTCTTGAATTCTAGCTTGGTGCTAGTTTTAGATGAGCTCATTCTTCAGAGCCGCCACATATGCCCTTACTTGCAGGAACATGTAACGTTTCAGGCTTGAATGTGAAGCACTTCCTCATTCATTATCATTTATACTCAAAAGCATATTTGATAGCTGTTATAAAAAAAATGCATGGCATTGTTGGTAGGGGTGCCAAAACAAATCCATATTTGCAGATATATATGTGTCAATTAGGATACACACACTAGGTTTTATACACATGCAATGCACGTGTCAGATACCATAATTAAATATTTTTAGCTTATTTCCTAACTAAAATTTATTCATCGGTTCCCCTTTAATAGTTTGTGTTTATTTTTGTCTCTAAACTTTAACATTGTGATTATGTATTTTCTTTGATGTTTGTTTAAATGGGTTATACCTAATTTAAATTTTCATGTTGATATTTAAATTGATAGAAAACAAATATAATCTGAAGCTAATTTGACTTTTCATATTATTTGGACTGACATAAAACCAAACTTTACTTGAGAAAGTACATTATTATAAAAGTAAAAATATTGAAACAATGTTATACAAGAAAGGCGAATATTTAAATATGTTATAGTCATTTTAGTGATGAAAGATAATCTCTATCAATGGCTGACAAATGTCTCATATTATGCATAATCAAGTCAACGCTTTAAGATAACGTAAGGCTCAATTCGGTCGACTCGACATGCCGACATCTTGCGAGGACGACTTGAAAGGCGTTACGTGTCGACGACTTGAAAGGCGTTACGTGCCGACATCTCGAAATGTGTTACGTGTCAACCCTTTGCTAAGTCGACTGCTTAATCACTCCACTCGACCGACTAATCGGCCGACACCTTACGAAGGCGACTCAAAAAGCAGTACTTCTCAACCACCGAACGAGTAGAAAGATGACGAAATGCCTCGAGCCTCGATCCCCCTCTAACGCACTAGCGACCAATCACCTCACAATAAATGTCATTAAATGCATTATGAGTGCCATCATTCCTCTGCCCAAATGGTCTTTATGACACATCGGATCACGTCGGCATCGCACACCCCTAATCACTTTGCATTAAATATTGAAATGACCTCTCCTTCACTCGTCGGCCAACACCTATAAAGCAAAGACTGACGTGACTGTCATCCCATACTAAGCCGAAGTTACTACTCTATCCTTCTACTACCACTATAAATGGGGATACTATTTTTAATAATAAGGTAAGATCTTTACATCTATCCACCGTGCTTAAGAACTACTACAGTTCATTTTGCTTCTCCCAAGAAAATCACTGACTTGATCATCGGAGAAACAACCGGGGAACCCAACCCCGCTATGTTACGATTTGTTACTTGTGCAGGAAAGAACAGCTTGCTCCAAAACCAGACATTCGGAGGGTTAGAGGACCTCCGTCAGCTTAATTACTCCTTTCATTTGATTGTTTGATATTAGACATCAACAAAAACCAGTAAGTCAAGATGATTGATTAAAAGTATGCTAAAATGATACAAAAGAGAATATAAAATTTGTTCCTAATTATTAATAGACTTCATAAAAATTATAAACTAAATATTATTGCTAACTCTAGTATACTTTTATATAATAAAATCATCCACATAAGCATATAAATGTACTAAAAAAAATTCATGGAACTCCCTTCTAAATATTCCTAATTTCACTTAAAATAATTAAACTATTTTATAAAACATTCAGAGAATATTGTCTTTTATTCCTTCTATCTTATTTTTTATTGAGCTAAGATCAATTCTTCTTCACCTTTATCTTTTTCTTAAGCAATTCTAGAATAGTATCTTCATCATCTATATCGATTATGACATCAGGTTAGAGTTGTATTTTTTTACAGAGTTATCTTTCCTAGGCTCGTTATGATTTTATCTTCTCGTTTAACTTCACAAAGAAGTCGAATGTATTTCTGAAGTTCTATAAAAATTTCTTGAAATACAGACTTTATTTTTTTTCCTATTTCAATGAGAATAAATTTTAATTCATATTTATAAAATTATTTGTGTTCCTAATTTATTACTTAAATAAGATTAAGAGCTACATCTTTTTCCTCTATAATGAATTCTTCTTATGGGCATCCAATAAGAGTTTCTATTATATTAATATCAATAATATTACCTTTACTCTATTCCTGTCATTTTTCACAAAGATCTGAACTAAATACCCATATTTTTCATTGCCAGTTTACCTTAGATTATAGTATTAATATTTAATTTCTTTAGTATTTGAAGAACAAAGTATGAAATTATAATACTTACTAATTTTTCTGGTATCTTCTATGGAGAATTCTTCTTTAATTACGATAACGTTGTTAAATTATTCTTCAATGGAACTCAGTCAATATTTTTTTGATTTATTTCTATCAATTTTTATTTACAATAGAAATAGCTTGATTCTTTTGAATGATATCTCTGAACATTCTGATAGTTTCTCCATATGTAATTCTTTGTATTATTTTACCCTATAAATATTATCAACATCATAGATTAATATTCCTAAATTGTAATCAATCGATGCTAAGCTATTATCTTACAGTCTTTTATTATTTTTATGGATTTAAACATCTATCAATTAATATTACTAATGTCTTTTTGTTGCTCTAACTTATTAGTAAAATTACATGTAGTTACTTTAATTAATATAGTGACAATAATTTTAAAGCTATCATATATATATTTTTTAAGTATTTACTCTATAACATAATATTTTTAATCAATTCTTACTTTTGTTTACCAGCATCGACTTAGACTACTTTTAGATGATGAAAAGGGAGTAAACTATATATATATATTAATAAAGGAATACTAAATAATTACACATTTCTTTGCCAAGTTTTAAAATTTAAGCCATATTTTTGTGGTTTTGAACGTTAAGGGTGTGATTTTGTAATTTTTAAAATTTAAGAGTGTTTTTAAAAAATTACTTTTAAGTTTAGCAATTATAACTTCTATGTTTTATATGTCAGTAGTAATTTTTAAATGTCAGAATATTTCTTACAACTTTAAAATTTTAAGGGTTTTTGTGCAATTATTAAAATTGTAGATTAATTTTTGAAAAACTCAAATATCAGTGGTCTGCCATTAATTTCAAGATTAAAAGTGTACTTTTTATAAATTTTGAAATTTTAGAGTATTTTGTAATTTTTAAATTTTGAAGAAGTTTTTTGCTGCAATTTTTGTAACTTTAAGGTTAATTTTGGTAAATTTTAAATTTTTAGGTGCATGAAGATAATCTCTTGAAATCAACTTTTGTTGTTAGTGAATTTTGAAATTTTAAAATTTTTTGGCGCTTTTTGTATAATATGAACTTTTGAGGGTTATTCTATAATTTTTAAGGCATTAAGGATGTTAATTAGAAATTTTAAATTCTTCAGAGGTTGCTGTTAATTTCTTAACTTTATTTTTGTTGTTCTAAGTTTGAAATGCTAAAAATTTTCAAGTGCATCATGGTAATCCATTGAATTCATTTATGTTGTTTGAAACTTTTAAAATTTTAGAATTTCAGGGTGCCTATTTGTAATTTAAAATTTTGTGGGTATTTTAATACTTTTTGAGACATTCAAGTGTTAACTGTAAATTTTAAATTCTTCATAGACTGCTGTTAATTTCTTGATTAATGTTTGCTATTTTAAGTTTTGAAACGTCGGGATGTTTCTATAATTTTAAACTTTTTAGGGTATTTTTGCATTTTTAATACTTTTTAGGTTTTTTGTAATAATTTATGTAATATAGTATATTAGCTATGTATAATTTTTTATATTAACAAACTAATACTGTAAAATTATTTTATATATTTTATTAATATTATTTTTTTTAAATTTTTTGAACGGTAGATAGTTCACGTAGGATTAGGATATAATATAATTATAATTAGGATAGATTAAGATATAAATGAGATATTCAAAGAGTGAAGGGTAATATTGACCATGAAAAAAAAATTCAAACTCGTACTTTTAAAGGAGTATATATATATATATATATTTATTTTTTTTAAATTTTTTGAACGGTAGATAGTTCACGTAGGATTAGGATATAATATAATTATAATTAGGATAGATTAAGATATAAATGAGATATTCAAAGAGTGAAGGGTAATATTGACCATGAAAAAAAAATTCAAACTCGTACTTTTAAAGGAGTATATATATATATA